AAACCATCTCTATCTATTGGACCGGATGGAATATGTGCCTACTTCTTAAAAAAGCTATCCACTGCCATAGCCGAACCTCTAAGCATAATCTTTGAAAAATCTTTCAGGACCAGCTCCTTGCCTAACCTATGGTCACAAGCCACAGTCATCCCCATCTTCAAAAAGGGAGACCCCACCCTAGTTGAAAATTACAGACCAATCTCCTTATGCTGCGTTACCTGTAAAGTCATGGAATCAATTATTAACCAATCCATTATCCTCCACTTAGAGACAACCTACTCTCCAATAAACAATTTGGTTTCAGGAAAAAGCTATCCTGTAATCTGCAACCCTTACACTACAAAAACATATGGACTACACAACTCAATCAGGGCAAAGCAATGGACGCAATCTACATAGACTTCTGTAAAGCCTTTGATTCAGTGGTACACAACAAACTACTCCTAAAACTAAAATCTTATGGTATCTCTGGACAACTGCATAACTGGATAGAAGCATTCCTGTCAAACAGACAACAAATGGTCAAAATTGGGAGTGTCCTATCAAATTCTGTACCTGTCAATACTGGTGTCCCCCAAGGCAGTGTTCTAGGACCAACTCTCTTCATGCTCTACATAAATGACCTCTGTGATCATATTAAGAGCAACTGTGTTCTTTTTGCTGATGATGTAAAGCTGTTCAATACCACAGACAATACTGCTACCCTTCAAAAAGATCTTGACTATGTATCAGAATGGTCAAACAAATGACAACTTCAATCTCAACAAATAAATGCTCTGTCTTACATACTGGCAAAAAAAATCAGAAAATAAAATACAAGCTGAATAGTCAAGATCTTGTTGATGCTCCAAGCTCTGTAAAGGACATTGGAATACTCATCTCTAATGATCTAAGTGCTAGAGCCCACTGTAACTACATAGCCAAAAAGGCATTAAGAGTTGTTAACCTAATCCTATGTAGCTTTTTCTCTGGTAATATCACACTACTAACTAGAGCATACAAAACATTTGCTAGACCAATACTCGAATACTGCTCATCAGTCTGGAACCCACATTACGTATCTGATATTAACTTGAGAAAGTCCAGAAATATTTCACAAGAAGAGTTCTCCACTCCTCTACTCATTGTAGAATACCTTATGCCACCAGACTTGAAATTCTAGACCTAGAAAACCTTGAATTACGCCATCTTCGGTCTGATCTAAGTATGGTATATAAAATCATACATTGCAATGTCCTACCTGTCAATGAATACTTCAGCTTCAACCATAACAACACAAGAGCACACAATAGATACAAACTCAAGGTTAACCGCACCAAACTTGATTGCAGGAAATACGACTTCAGCAACAGAGTGGTCAGTGTCTGGAATACTCTACCTGACTCTGTGGTTTCTTCCCCAAACCCCAAAAACTTTAACCTTAGACTGTCTACTATTGACCTCACCCCTTTCCTAAGAGGTCTGTAGGGGGCATGCACCAACATGCCTACCGTCCCTGTCCTATTGTTTCTTTTATTTTTCTTATATGTACCCATTTCATGTATTCATCACTATGTATATACTTATACCTATTATCCTGTAAGCAATTGACAAATAAAATAAAATAAAATAAAATAATAATAAATAAATAAATAAAATCTCCAGTCAGAGATGGTATTTGCCAGTTCTTCGAACTACTCAAAATTTCTACTACCGGTTCTCCAGAACTGGTCAGAACCTGCTGAATACCACCTCTGATCAATGGAATTCACAGGGTGGGGGGAAAACTTGGATTTCTTGTGGCAATCCAAGGACTCTAAACTGATGACATGTTTAACTCTGCCCCGCAGTCCTGCCTGCTCTTCTACATCCCTCTGGATATGGACATCCTTTACACACAAAGAGGATAAAGTTGACTAAGGGTTGTAAATCCATTCAGATAAATGGCAGGTATCACACCTATTAATAAATAGAAGGTCCCTTCTCTCCCTTCTTTCTGACTGCTACCTCCAGCCACAATGGTAATTAAGCAGATAAGGCACGATATGGTAAATGAGTTGGGAAAAACGCACAAACCTAGCAGGGTACCTAACCAACAAACATCTGTTTTGGGGCATCCAGCTAATTGCAGTTCCCAATTACTAGAGGGCAGGCTCTATTCCTTGGGAGGAGCAAAGAGATTTATAGAATAGAATACCTTTATTCTCATTGCATTCTACAAATACAATGAAATTTGAAAGCTACTCCAGCACAGTGTCCCAAACACCACATCATAATCACACTAAGAGTATTTAAAAATTAAAATAATTAAAATAATAATTAAAAACCTAGTCTAAAACCTATCTAAAACATATAGTAAGTTAGATAGTTTAAAAATGCCACTATATACAGAGGGCTAAATCACATATGCATTGTTTGATTCAAGACAATTATTGCCTTGGAAAAGAAATTGTTTCTCAGTCTATTAGTTCTCATTTTAAAACACCTATAATGCCTCCCTGATGGTAACAATTTGCTTTTTCTATAAAGATAAGCACCTCAAATCTGTGACTCTAGCCTATAGAACTGTACTGCACTTTATGCTGTCAAAATAAACTCATTCTCTGTTTCAAGAAACTTGCCCTGTGTGTTCTATGGAGGACCCAACTTAGATTCAAACCCAGAATTTTGCTTCTAACATTAGAAAGTTATATCTTTTTTTCAAGGAAAGGAGAGCCCATGTCATTCCTTTTCCTCACCTTCAAAGTATCTGCAAATGGTACAGAAGAAGTGAAATACTTTACTCCTTGGGAGTAATATGCTGGCATTTGGAAAAGTGTTGGTGTGAATGAACCCAGAGGAGCTGATACAGATTGCTACATCCTGTTCTGGAAGGAGGGAAGGTGACAAGAATGGACCTAGGTTGTGATAGCTGACTGTGAGCAGGTCTCACATGTTTTAAAAATAAGACAGACCTGTGAATTGGGCGGTAGGCTGAGAGAACAGGTGAGAAGGCCAAATTGCAGTGAAGAATGTCAAAGGCAATCAGCTTATCTTCTCACCTTCCATCAGATCAGAACTGATGTATATCATAGAATCATAAAATTGGAAGATAGGGTTGTCTTTGGAGGGACTCCAAGATGATGAGCATTGTATAAACACCATAGTATTGAAATAAAATAATGTTCAATATAAGTTTTACAGCAATATTATAATGGAAAAAGTCAAGCTGGCAATCAAAGCCCTGCCCCTGTCTACTGTACATGAGTTGTGTCCTTTTCCACACAGGTCATGCATGCACATTTCTTAAAAAGACTTCAATCTTTTGTCTGCTATTTAACCTTTTTCTTTTTTCAGCATATTCTACATTTCCATAATGTTGCTGGAGTTGGAAGGGACATTAGTATGTTGCCCTCAGTTATATAAAATAAAAGCATGAAAAAAACTCTCCTTCATGGATTGCTGCCTTGTTGTGGCGAAGGGGCTTATGTAGCCCAATGAAGCTATGAGCTATGTCGTGCAGGGCCACCCAAGATGGACAGGTCATAGCAGAGAGTTCTGACAAAACATGATCCATTGGAGAAAGAAATGGCAACCTACTTCAGAGTCCTTGCCATGAAAACCCCATGGACAGTACCAAAAGGCAAAAAGATATGATGCTGGAAGGACTCTGGTGGATGGTAGAGGACAGAAAGGCCAGTCCTTGAGGAATGTTGTCCATGGGGTCAATTGTTATTAGCTATAGTTCCAGAATCCAAGATACAATTGTCCTGCTCTATCTATACATTCTTCTCTAAAGCAAGACCTTTTGTATATATTTTAATTATTATTTTCAGCTAACCTATTAGGATCATTATTTTTTCTACCTTCTAAGACAGTGGATGATGTTGGAAAAAATACTCCTGAGAATACTGTGGATAGCCAAGAAAGTAATCAAATGGGTCATTGAAGAAATCAACCCAGAATTTTTAACTCGAGATACAAATGACCAGGCTCAAATTATCAAATAATTGTGGACAAATTATTTGGATACATTATACTAAGACATTGCCTTTTGGAGAAGGCTTTGTTGATGGGAAAGGTAGAAAGAATGATGACCAGCAACAAGGTGGATGAATTAGTTACAGCAGCAATGGCTACATCAGTGGAAAACACGAAGGAAAAAAAGTCTTGTAGACACTTAAGAGTCAACACTGACTTGATAGCACATAATCAGAACAGCAAATCTGAAACTTTGCAGAACTATAATCTCTTACAATGATACATGCAAATCTGTTCAACTCTCATGTATAAATAACTTATTTTTTATTTGTTTACTGGAGTGTACAGGTAGTCTTCCTGTAGCAGCCACATTTGGCACCAGCAACTCTGTCATCAAATGAAACATCATGTGACTTATGACGTTGCTTCCCATTCAATCGCTAAACAAGCTACCATAAAGTCATTAAGGGGGACATCATCATGTCAACCTGCTTCTCTATTGACTCTGCTTGTTGGAAGCCAGTTGTGAAGCATGCAAATGGTGATCATATGATTGTGGGGTGCTATAATTGTCATAAATATGTGCCATTTTCAAAATACCTAAATGTTAATTGTGACTGGGGGATGCTGTGATGGACATAAGTGAGAGGACTGGTAATAAAGCTATTTTTTCAGCGACCTCGTAATTTTGAATAGTCATCAAACAAGGCAGTGGTTAAGTGAGGTCTACCTATATTTGCCATCCCAGTCACTCCCAATTCTTGAACAATTTGTATGGACATGGATATTAGAGTTGTGTAAGACATACCACCCATATATTAATTACAGATTAATCTATCTGTCTCAAACTGCCTTCTGAGGGCTTATGAAGGCAATGAATTCTTCCAGTCCTTTTGCCACCACAAGCAAATAGCATTGTTACAAGGACAGTCCAAAGCTTGAACAGATAATGCAGGGACCAAGGCCCAGATTAAATTTTGATAATGTTCCCATTTACCCATGCAAGCCTGAGCAATTTTTTTTATGTGACACCCATCTCCAACTCCTGGTGGTCCCAACCCAGAATTTGAGAGTCTCTGATTTAAAGTGCTATATTAGTTACCACATCCAGTTATTGTGGAATTACTTATATAATTCTTCAAGTATATTTTTACAGTCTTACCAGTCTTTAGGAAAAGTAGCAGGAATTCTTAGCACTTGTATTTGCCCAACTATTTTATTGTTATCCCTAAAAATAAGATAAGATATAATATTTAGGATAACAATAAGATAAAACTGTTTATTCTAGCTGGACTTTAACTGGGGCTTTTACTCTGTCTTCTGGATCAGGACAATCAAACTGATGGAGTGATGACTAAAACACTGGGTTGTTTTTTTAATCCTGCTAATTAGGTAAATATGGACCAGTAACACTGAATCATTATAATCGGGTCTTTCAAATGTCAACCTGAACCAATATATCTGATTCTGGCATCTTTTAACCATCACTCTGGCGACGAGGATGGGATTCTTTCCAGAGGCATAACGCAACCGCTG